TATATATATATATATATTCATTCATTCTATCACGCTCTTTTTCTTTCATTCTTCCACTTTTCATCTCTCTACTTTTCTTACGCCGTTTAAAGGCGATCGATCAACGGCGGAACGTATATATAGATGGATGCGAAGTATTGAAAAGTATATAACTGCGCCAAACGTGGTGCACAACACATGAACGGAACTTTCTCCGGTGGCACGTGTTGCGAGCAACTCGGTCACGCCGCGTCGCGTTGCGAATTCTCCCAATCGGTGCTTTTCGGAATGGACGAAGCGAGGCGTGTAACGGCGGCTTCATCTCATGAAATTCAATCGAGAATCTTCGCTCCGGATCAAAGTATTTTTGAAGAATAACATAAACGGTCCAAGTCGCAATCGCATGGCTTGCTGCACTCGTTAACATGTAACAGTATCGCGATTAAAATGTTTGTTCAAAGGTGTACATACGGGTGGACGTACTTGGACTTTTATATTAGATTTGTAGATGTGAAGAAATTAGCTGCACGGTAAATATTTCCTTCACTATGATTTTTATAAGTAACGCATCTTTGACCTGAAAAAAATATATATCTTTCTCCGCGATGAAACCTTTTAACGTTCCGCCTTGATTGACCGTCGACGATACGAGAACCGCAATAACGGAAAAATGGGGATCCCTTAATAGCAGGTGGTACTTTGACGCCGCTCGCGCCACTGACGATGCAAGAACTAAAATTGAGCCAAACATTGGACGGGGCTAACATGTCTCCTTACCACACCACCGGTGAGTTCGCCACCTCTTTACGTTCTCTTACGGTCGCGCCGAGTCATGTACATCTGTTTCGCAGAGCATAAGGTTTTATTAAGCCTCTCAGATATGCGCGTGTCCAACTAATATGTCCACATGTTAAATGTGTACTACCACGTCGAGTGTTTATGGTATTAACTTACCGCGAAATCAAATGCGGTATCTCCTATTCTCCTTTATTATCCATGATTTACATTTCCTAATGAATCAGAAAATGTATAATAAGGCATACATATTGCAAATGTTTTAACGTAAAAAGATGATAACATTCTTTTTCTTTCTTATTTTTTCATTGTATTTTACACTTAAATCAAATGGAAATAGTACATTCTTAATTTTTTCTGTCAACGTAAGATCTTTCTCAATAAACTAACATTTTTGTTAATATTTTTAAATGTCATTTACATATTAATTTGAGAATAATGAGAAGTAAAAAAAAAAGTGAAAGAAGGTTTAAACAAAAATGCCTGTTGCATTCGTGATAGGTATAATTTCAAAACAATTAATAAAAAAAATTCCAAATCCCAATTTTCTTCCTGATCCTCATCTAAACAGTTTAATTAAGCTTTAAACGTAAGGCGCTGATCGTTAGCTAGTGCTTGATTCGAATGTTGTGTTGTGTTGTGCATGGCATAGCAGAGAGCAGTACCGTCGCAGTATCGTATGTTGGGGTGGGGGCCGGTGGGGGCGAGCAAAGTCCCCCGATTTCGTTACAGAACGAGACAAACGCCACCCCCGCGGCCCCCAACACCCCCGGAGGGGATCCCGGACTGACGGTCTTGCAGCCGCCAGTTTCTCAGCCCCAGGTAGCCTCTGCGATACCGCCGTACTCGACGATGCTTCCAAGTTTCGGACACTACGCCACCGGTGAGTACAACCAAAAACCGCTTGCTTAACCGTTCGTCAAGGACAAGCGCGCCCGTATACCCTTCGGGGGTTGAATCGAGCTCGGCGGTACGTTCAGAGGGTAAGTCAGAGCTCTGTCTGAGGAGCGCTGATTTACCAGTTCGAGGCGGTGAGCCACGGACAATTTTGTCGGAAAGGGTGGGTTTTATCCATTGGAGAAAATCACGTATCAATGAATGAAGGATACTATGATGATGTTATTCTTAATCGACGTGTAATTAAAATAATAAATCTTTTCTTGTGTGCTATTTATATAAATAATAATTCTCTTTATATCAATATTTAATTTTTTTTTTAATAGAATTACTGCAGTTGTATTGTTTGGCATCAATTATAACAGTAACCACTATTTCACTTGAATAACAAGTATCATTACAAACCCACATGTTTCCAGTCTACAAAGTTAAATTGTACGCGAGAATTTAATTTATTCCTTAGTACACTTTCGCGCAAGTCTACTTGCAGGACCAATTTCGAGAATTAATTCAGACATTAACATAATGTGTTAATTTTAGAAACGTCGACAACTGTCAACCCACGCTAATTAGCTTATCGTTGACTTTTGTTTAGGTGGTGGCGACTACGCGTACAGCGCTGCATATTCTCAATATTCAAGTGCACCATACAGCGGCTATGGTTATGGAGCAGCGACAAGCGGGTTGCTCAGTAAGTAAACAGTGAGTATGAGTACCGATTAGGTTAGGGTTATCGAAATATGAAAATACTAGGAAAATAGGCCGATATATTTCGGTAACGCCAGGTTGATAACGATGCTAGAAAGAGAAGTGGTCAGCCGGCCGTTACACAATCAACTTGTTCGAAGTAATAAACGCGCGAAAGGCAGTCGTATTCTTTACCCCGTAGAAATTACATGTACGCGATATATGAAGATACGAGCCGGGCAAAAACTTTATTTCTAGTTACGCTCATGTAACCGCGCACGCGGACACAATACCTCGCGATCTAAATAGAACTTCCTAGCTTCGTTCCTCGTTAACGCGAGCTGCAATTCGATTCATATCAGATAACATCGAACTAGTTCCCCATCGAAGCCACGTCGCGTTCTCTCTGTCCGGTTCTAATATAACCCCGATTCAAACGCCTATCCTTCATAACGTACAAGATTGGTGGTATTAGGAGGAGATCGCGATACCTCGTGGTGCAAACGTAGAAGAGAGCGCGCATCGCGCGTGCAGATACGAATAGAATAATAAACCTCTTTTTTTTTTCTTATCGGACACGCGATACGCTGTTAACCCGTACCTCGTAATACGTAATATAGATCCGTTTGCGATATCGCAACGCGCTCTCTCACCCGCTTCCCCGCGCACGCTCAACTTATTCCTCCTCGTTCTTAATATTCCACGCGAGCGTTACGTGAACGTTATAATTAAACGCGAAAATTAGATAGGAGCATCGCGGAAATTTATTCCATCTTAATTCTACGCGATATGATGCGCATGTATATAAACAGAATGGGAAAAGTTGTAGCGAAAACGCGGCTGAATATGCAACGTTACAAATTGCATATAAAACGTAAAATGTATAGAAGCGTGCGACGCTTCTAGAGATATTTCATTCGTGGATACGAATACATCAATTGAGCCTGCAAAATGTTAAATAGGGTATTGTATACGCAGGTATAGGGAAACCCACAAATTCTATGAGTGATGAACGTAATCGTTTTTCGTTCTAGACTCCACGTACTACTATTGCAACGGAGACACGTCCACTCATACATCACAACAGGGCGGCGGCGGTTGTACCAGCGGTGGTCCGGAAAGCAGCGCCGACGTGGCCAGTCGTTCGCCTCTGGCGGCTACCAGGGCTAGCAGCGGGGCCAGCGCGGCCTCACCGACCGGAAGCGCCTGCACGAAGCCGGACCACACCTCCGCCACACCGACAGATCTCTACCTGGCTTGATGATTGAACCACACGACGGGACTCTCGACCGAACGTTCCAATGCGGAGAGATAGTGAGCTGCGACAACGGACGCCATATCACGAAGAGACATCATCTCGACATTAAGCAATGATCTCCTTTTAACTGCTTTGGGAATGCGCGATGGAAAATTTAGAGTGCGAAAGATATCGGTGAATCTACAAGGAAGATTAAAGAAGAAGAAGAAGAAGAAGAAGAAGAAGAAGAAGAAGAAGAAGAAGAGGAAGAACAAGAAGAAGACGAAGAAGAAGATTAGGATGACTCGCGACGAGGAACGTTAAAACGAATCTAGAATTAGCTGCGCTCGGAATTTTAAATTCCATTGCGTTCAAGATGAATAACAGGACTTGGGAATTTGTTCTAATCGAGCGCGCGACGTGATTCCGCGCAAAATGAGCTTGACGCGAGTGACGGTCACGTCAGAGTATTGGCGTACAGTTCCCTCATATTGCCACTGTTCTTCGCAATATGAACGTTCCCTTCTATGTTTTATTTATTAATCGTAATCCGAAGAATCATCGACCGATTGACTTATCAATGTTAATGGTGGCGATGCGAGTAAATCTCGAATGCTCGAAAGCGTTGAAGACGGCATCGTCGCTCTCTGGAGAGCCGCGATGGTAGGTAGTTTAATTTAATGATCCTCAGTTAGTGTAATTTTCACGCGGTGGTCGTGACCGCCCTCGCGAGCGCGCGCTCGCGTGGCACACATAGTCGCCGACCATGTAAATATATATAAATTGAACATATATAAATAA